ATTGGGCAAGTTTGTTTTGACAGATGGGGCAAATCCTCCCCCTCCCCATCCCCTAGTAGCAGCTCTCTGGATTCTGGGCTGGGCAGCAGGACCTAAAGAATGTAGAGCCTTCCCCCAGCCGTGCTTTGGAGGTGATGTCAGGTGCGTGGGTTAAGTAAGTACCTGGCTGAAGTGAATACCTTTGGAGGAGGCTGACTGGGACAGGGAGGATAGATAGGATTGTACTACCCACAGGGTAGTCTGGCAGAGGCCCAACCTCCTGTGACTACTGCATCCTATTTTTTTCCTTCCTGACCTGAGGCAGAGAGACAGGATCCTTTTCCTGTCCAGCCTGGAGGCTCAGAGCAGTAGAAATTTGCCCAGCCAGCCTGGAAATTTGTGCAAACCTCTGTCTCAAAGAGCCTTTGGATGGCATCTGATGCCTCATTTAGAGTTGAGAGCTGGACCCAAAGAAAGGAAGTGGTCTGTTTATTAAGCTCAATGCCTTTGCTTGTGGACCTGAAGCTGTTTCCCAGCCCCAGGCTTGGGCTCCTTTCTACCACCGTGTTCTATTTGGGAAGGTGGAATCAGAGACCTAAATCTGGGGAACTGCTGGTTTGCCAGATCCCAGGCTACCTTTCAGACCATACCCTGTTAATAGCTCTCTGGACAAGAGGGCTCTCTGGCACTCCTAGTGATGGCAAAAGGGCTTACACCATGCAGAGAAGGGTGGAAACCCTGACTGTACTTCTTTCATAGCATTTACGCGAATATTAATGGAATATGCAGCAGGCAAGATAGCAGAGGTAATGCCAGGAACTTTGAATGGAGTTGGATTTCCCTAGGGAAAAGGCCACCCACCTAGGAAAGTGTCATTACAGATGAGAGACAGCCTACAGTAAGGACTGCTGGTAAGCATTGGCTCTGGAGGATTAGAGCCTTAAATAAGGGAGTAAAAGGAACAGGGCTATGGGGCATGGCTTGGGAAAGTGTGAAAGAGAATAGCAGAGGCTTTCAGGCAAAAATAGTAGCTTGGAGTGTTTTCTTCAGGGATGCAGGTCCAGGAGGCTGCTCAGGCTCCAGTAGATGGTTCCACACCTATGCATACGTAGGAGCAACAAATGGACTCAGAGGGGATGGGAGTGGCGTGGGGTGGATTTGACCAAACATTATATACACGTATTAATATTAAGTAAAATATTGAAAGATAATAGAGTGCATCTGAGGATGGACCAGAGGTGATCTGAGGCCCCTGAGGTGGTGGTACCCACCCTGTGGGGAATGAGAGCAGGTCCAGGTGTGGGATGCAAGGCTGGAAAGGTAACTGGGGGTGGGGGAGGAACTGGTGCAGGGTTGTGAGTGCCTTAGTCATCGGCATGGGCTTTTTATGGTCACTGAGACCACTGAAGATATTTTAAAAGACTGGGTGATGTGACAAGATTAGGAGCTCTCCTTCCATTATGAGCTAATGGGCCTCTTTTAGCTCTCTGGGACTCAGTTTACTGCATCTGTGAAATGGGAATGGTAGTAGCACCTGCTTCGCGGGGTGGCTGCAAAGATCCTGTACTCACCGAGATGAGTCTCTGGCTCCTAGAAATGGCCGGGCTGTTTCTGGAGGCTGAAGCAGTAGAAGGAAGCCCTGTGAAAACTCCAGATAAGAGAACCTATGTTCCCTGGTCAGCCTAGACTCCCTTGGTGGCCTAGAAGCAGCAAAATCATTTGGTGGCAGGGAGACAGTGGCCTGTCTGCACCCAGTCAGGGCAGGTCTGAGTATATGGGGCCATCTAATTCAAGTAGCTCATTGAGTAGCTAGTGAGGTAGGGTAAGAATCACAGTCTTAGGCTGTGGTACACGCCTTTAATCCCAGCACTTGGGAGGCAGAGGCAGGTGGATCTCTGTATGTTTGATGCCATCCTGGTCTGCAGAGCTAGTTCCAGGATGTCTAGGGGCTACACAGAGAAACCCTGCCTTAAAACACACACACACACAAAACAAACAAACAAACAAACAAACAAACCAACCAACAAACAAAAAACCCAAAACAAACTAATGAATCTCAGTCCTTACCACTCAGTGGAGTATTCCTGTATCCCCAAGGCCACCTCCCAGGCTGAGCCCCTTAAGAATGTTTCTTTGTGTATACCAAACTTGGGTCCATCCTCCTAGGACTTCCCATTTTCCATTTTTATTTACATATACATCTCTGTGTATAATGCCACATATATGAAAGTATCTTTGGAAGCCGGAAGAGGGTGTCAGAACCCTTGGAGCTGGAGTCACAGCTATTGTGACCAGCTTGACATGGGTGCTGAGAACTTAACTGGGGCGCTGAGCCACTACTCCAGCACTCATCCCCTCCCTTTCCTCGGTTTTTCTTGTCTGAGATGAGGGCACGAAGCTTAGGAGCACTCGAAGGTCTGAAAGCCAGGCTGGGAACATGGTTTGGATGATGCTCATCTACATGAACGCATCCACAGAAGAAAGGGCATCTGCGGTGGCAGGCTCCAGACACCAAGCCACCTGGATTCCCCAGTTCAAGCAGGGAGAGGGATATTTAGTCTGGAGGGTGGGAGCAAGAGTCTCGGTGTGACAGATAAATGGCTTAAATTGCCATGTCCCTTGGCTGATGGCTTGGCTTCTTTTTCAGCAAGAAAGGAATAACACCCACTGCTTGAGGCAGTGGAGCAAGGTGTAAACTATACCGTGTGTTTGGTTAGCATTAGGTCCTGCATATTGCATTGGCTTAATAAATGGCACTTGTCTTCTTTCAGGGAACACTTGCTGAGCAGTTGGTGGCTGCCAGGCGCTATCTTAAGCTCTGGGGAGATGCTAGAACAAAGCACTTAGAAGTTAGAAACCCATTGGAGGGTGACAGATCAGTGACAGAGGAGCTCTAGCCTTGGAATGGAGGAGGGAAAGGAATGCTACATTGGGGAAGTGCAAGGTGTTTGGGGCCCGGGAAGGGAGGGGCCACCAGGAAGACCTTTGGGAGGAGACTGGCTACCTTAACTGAAATGTGAATGGGCATCACCAGCTTTGGGGAGGGGACAGGGCAGGGGAAGTGCTCTAAGCACAAGGCTGGAAATGGATGGGTAAGAAAATATAGTCTTCTGCCATTCCTCTAAGTCAGTGGACAGACCATTTCCTCTGCACTGTGAGCTACAGATACGAGTAGCTACAAGACCTGGAGCTGTTTCTTCTCCCAGGGTGGCACTGCCCTAGAGATTTAAGCCTCAGTTCTTTTCTGCCTCATCTCTGCTGCTCTGTAGTACTGACAATCTCCAGGTCTGCTGCTCTGTAGTACTGACAATCTCCAGGTCTGGGGTGTCCATCTCTGTGGCCCATGGCTCCTATTGCATTTACTGTGGTGCTGTCCTGGGTTCTGCTGGGGTATGGCCTCTCAGCCCAAGAACAGTCTCCGTCCCTGGAGAAGTTCCTCACAAGGTGGTCAGTGATGTGGATATAATAGAAGAAAAGCTGCCTGGCAGGGAGGTTATAGCTCGTAGGGAGGGTGTATCTCAGTGCTGGAATAGCACAGGATTCCTATGGCAGCCACCAAAGTGCTGCACCAGGGACACTGGAATGGGGCCACCTGCATGGATCTTGTCCCCTGCCCTCCCCTGCCCTCACACTCTTTCAGCAGAGGCTAAAATTCTGATCTGCCTTGGGAAAAGGACTTTGACACATTTTCAAAATAAAGTTGAGGGTAATCTCCAGAGGGGAAGAAGAATAAACACGCTTTAAAAATGCAAAAGGAAGCGTGTTATTTAAACAAACCAAAAAAAAAAAAAAAAAGAGAGAGAGAGAGAGAGAGAGAGAGAGAGAGAGAGAGAGAGAGAGAAAGAAAAGAAAAAAAGAAAGTGGAAAAATTACGAGGGAGGGCCTCAATTCCCTTGAGTAAAAGTCTCTAGCTGCGGTGACAAGAGGCTACAGAGACTTCAGGGAAGCAGAAACACCTGCTGTATGTGTTGAGGGTGACCAGTCCAGATTAAGTGTGAATTTAGCTAAGAATTGGGATCGTGCTCAGTGTGTCACCATGAGGGATCCACACAGCATTTGGGATGGGAGGACACTGTGAGGTCAGAGTTCTCCCTCCGCTTGGGGATAGCTCTGCCAGAGAATCGGGACTGCTGGACTGGAGACAGCAACCAAAATGTCCTAATAGAAAGATCTAAACAACCAGAAACCTAGGGGTGACCAAGGTCTTCTCACAGTCGGGTAGGGCAGGGGCCCTGAGGAATGTCTTCTAGGAAGAGACCTGCTCATTTCCTATCTAGTCTGGGGTCTTGAATGGCAATGAAGAGGGCAGACCTCAGGACCCTGTCCCAGCTTCTCTTAGAGCTGAGGGAGTGGATGGTGGGAAGGACTGTGGTGATCTGTCTCCTCTCCTACCACCAAACCTGCATTGTTGTATCAGGCCAGCAGCTGTTTCAGGGCTGGAAATAGCTTGGGCAGCTGGTATTTTCCCTGGAAATCAGGTGCATTTTGTTTTTGTGTCCTGCCAAAAGCCAAAATTAGTTAAACATACAGAGAGAAGTTGGTTAGTCTCAGAGAAAGTCAACAGGAAGCTAGCTGGCCAGAGGAAAGAGGGAGGTTACAAAGTTGATGAAGGCCAGCAAGCCTTGTATAGACATTAGGGAAGCCTTGTGTGTCCCTTTCACATCATGCTCAGACAGGGAGGTGATTTTACTTACAGGATAGGATACAAGTATCTGATTGATCCCATTTGACAGATGAGGAAGCAGGGAACCTCACTGAAGGGGCCTTCCATTCAGAGATGATGGGACATTAGGGCCCAGTTCCCCAGCTTTGCAGTCATTCAGTACAGGGTTAGTAAAAGCTGGCCCTTGACCTTGGTGCTGGATTTGAGCTCCAAAAGACCTAGGACACAAAAACAAAAACAAGAACTCTGCTGTTTTAGTCCCTCCACCCCAAAGAACACAAAACCCCATCCTAACCCAACAGGAAAATACAAACCAACGCTTTAATTACTCTTTCCTTCTTTCTGTTTTGTCCTCCAGCCAGAAAACATTATGTTGTTAGACAAGACTATCCCCATCCCACACATCAAGCTCATTGACTTTGGCCTGGCTCATGAAATAGAAGATGGAGTTGAGTTTAAAAACATTTTTGGAACACCAGAATTTGTTGGTGAGTTTTGGGACTGTTTTTCTCTCAGTCTGGTATTGGGGCTGGGGAGAGTGTTCAGGCCTGAGTTCAAGCCCCAGAATCCACGTCAGAAAACCAGGAGTGTGTGCTTATAATATCAGATCTGGGGAGGAAGAAACAGGCAGATACCTGGGTCTCACTGGCTAGCCAGCCTAGGCTACTTGACAGATTCTAAGCCAGTGAAAGACACTGTTCTGGCTTACATGCACATGCCCACATGTACACACACACACACACACACACACACACACACACACACACACACACACACACCACACACACACGAAGGGAGGGAAATCCTAGGAACAATCCTCATTTCTGGGCTGAGAAATGATGTCTTGGGATACCTGCTATAAACTGAAGGGGTTGAGAAGTAATTGGGTGAGACACATGGGCTTTGAGTGCCCACTGGGAAAGAGAGTAGCCAGGTGAGGCTAGAGGCCTTTGTAGAGTTAAACTTTCTCAGAACTGGCCCCACCATTTACTCTTGGAGGAGTTTATTGTGCAGATTTAAAGACCTCCCTGTCTTGGTTCCCCACAGGAATTCCTCTCTCTGAAGTAGCTTTTGATTTCCTGAAAAGGAAAGAAGTCTTTATCTGCCAGGTGCCAGATTCACTGCCCGCCTCTCCCAAGAGCCTGGCCTTTACTCATGCATTAGAGCCGCCAGCTCCAGCAAGGGTCTGGCCTTGCTGTCTTCCCTCTGTTTCTCTCCCTCTCTACCCCAGCCCTTTCTGACCTACACCCTGGAAACTCCCCTGTGGGGCCTGATCTAGAGGTTAGAGGATCACAGGAAAATCTCTCTGCAGAGAGGAAAGGAATGAGAGTTGAGAACCAAAGCATCATGTATCCGTCTTTTTGGGGAATTGAGGTATTTCAGAGATGGAGGGAGTGGCCTGCTCAAAACAGCAGCTTAGCTTATTTTCTCCATCAGGGGCCATCCAGGCCAGACCTTCTCTCAACAAAACAAAATGGAAAATACAAAAACAAAAAGATCAGGCATGATTTAAGAGAACTACTTGTAACTTTAGGGCTAAAGGGGTGGTTCTGTGGCTAGAAGTGCACACCACCCTCGCTGAGGACCCAATTTCATTCCCCATGGGCACCCATGGCAGATTTCTCACAATCATCTATACCTCCAGCTCCAGAGGATCCAAACAATCTTCTGGCCTGTTTGACACCTGCACACACATGTGTGCACACCCACACACAGAAGCACACACCTGCACAGAATTAGAACTAAAGACATAAAAAAGAAATCCAGAATGTAGTCACATGCCACAACCCACCCTTTTAGTAAGATGCAATGAGATTAATTTCCTAAGGTAGAGGAAATACAATGAATAAAGCACTTATCATGACTGCATGACCTGAGTTTGAATCCACACAACACACTGAAAGCCAGATGAGGTCCTACGTGTCTGTACTCTGGGGTTCCTACAGCAAGATAAGAAGCAGACAGTAGAGTTCCCAGGAAATGATGGGCCTTGCAAGGCTGGCATTCACAGGGTGAAACACACACACACACACACACACACACACACACACACACACTCACAGAGAGAGAGAGAGAGAGAGAGAGAGCACAAAGTGATGTGTAAGATTATTTAACTTGGAGTTGGGCATGCTGGCATACACCTATAGTCCTAGGATTAGGGAGGTGGAGGCAGGAGGATCTGGAGTTCAAAGCCATGATAAGCTACACAGAAGTTTGAGACCAGCCTGTGCTGCTTAAATAAAATCCTGTCTGAAAAACAAAATAAATGTCTCTAACTCGGTAATCTGAGACAGGAGTATTGTGAGTTGGAGACCAGCATGGGCTGAATAGTGAGACCTTGGCTCTCAAACTTTAAAAAAAAAAAAAAAAAAAGATTCTACAAATAAAGACTCTCAAATTATGCACCTATCTCATTGGTGCATAGTCCATAATCTGTGGACCAGTCCATAGATTACTTGATGCCCATACTTAATTGGAATATCATTTTTAAAAACAACTCACTTACATGTGTCCATCAGCAGAAATGGAAAGAGTTACCCACAATGAGAGAAGCAGAAACCATGCAGGTGATCTCTGAGAGAAGAGTGACTGGTCATAGACAGACAGTAACAGCAGATGGACTATTTATAACACAGCTGTGAAAGTGGAAGTCCGTGGATGAAGCAGATGGAAACAATCAAGAGAGAAAATTTCAAGTGCATCCTGGGATCATTTTTTGTAAAGCTAGAACAAAAACAAAGCAACAACAACAAAAAAAAAAATCAAAGCCATTGTAGGGGTGTCTGCATGTTGAAGGAAGAGATGTAGGGGAGAGGCCAGCAGACATTCCCTATAGATAGCATTCTGGATAAATAATCTCAGCTGCCCCCTGGCATGTTTGGTGTCCTTCAGGCTTATCACCTTACCTCAGTGACCCCCAAAGATGTCCTCAGATGAAGTCACCTGTCAGATGGGACTGGGAGGAAGATGAAGGCCCTCTCTGCCCTCTTCCATATCACCCAGCAGCGTGGACCTGTCTGCAGTCTCTGTCTACCAGGGTTCCTTTCCCACAGCAGGCTTCATCAATGTCTTCTTCCTGAACCTTCTTCTTCCCACATTCCTCTTCCCTTGTGCCTCCCTTTCCTGCTCCTTCAAGGCTCATTCATGAGTGATTTCTCCCAGGTTAGCAGGAAATCATGCCTTACCTTGGCTGGTTGCTGTAACCAAACACTTTAGACTGGGTATATTATAAGCAACAGAAATGTGTTGATCATAGTTCCGGTGGTTGAGAGTCCCAGATGCTGATGCCAGCAGGCTTGGTGTCTGGTGAGGGACTTTTTCACATAGATAGTAGAGTCCTTCTCTATTGTGTGGAAGGAGGGAACAATCTCCCTGGAACCTTTTATAAGAGTTTAACTTTATCCCTGACGGTTCTGCTCCCATGACCTAATCACCTGTAAGGCCCCATCATTTTCTACGGTTGCCTGAGAATTAGATTTCAACATAGACTTTCTGTAGAAACACAAACAGTCCATAGCAACTTGATTTCTCAACATTCTTACATCCTGATTATCTCCATCTACTGTTCAAATATTCTTCCTCCCTACTGGAGATTCAAGATGTAGACATTTGGCACCAAATAATCTAAGGTTCCCTAGAACCATCTCCTCTCATCTCTACCTCCTCTTGACTCTTCAACATGACTTCTTTCAGCTCCAGAAATCGTGAACTACGAGCCACTGGGACTGGAGGCGGACATGTGGTAAGTGGCGGCATGGGATCCTTCCAGGGTCAGAAAGTCTCAGCCCCTGTTTTAGATGACATGTCCTTGAGTGTTTAAGTCCCTTCCTTCACACTCACATTTCTTAGTCCCCTAGTCTGCAATGCTCTAAGAGCACTAGACATGCAGCAGGAGGCAATGAGGCTTGGATTCATGGCCAATTAGAACTTTGGCAGCAGGGGAGAGGCTGCAGCAAATACAGGCTCATCCTGGGCCAGCCTCAACTGGGTCTAGATAACAGTTAAGTGAGCTCCATTGCTCGGTCCATCAAGTGTTCCACAGGAGCATCCCTATGTCCTAGGCATATGTTTTCCTAGCAGTACTGCTGTGATCAAGTCTTTATGTATTTTAGTTGAACACTACTTTACAGTTGGCTCAGCTCATGACTTGGTTTCTAAGACCCTGACACCCGTGAGGCTGTTCTTATTTATTTATTGTTCTCATTTTAGATGGAAGGTGGGCTCAGAGGTTAAGGGACATGCTCTAATGACAGAATCTGCAAATGCAGAAGTCAGACCTTGAATTTGGGTCCTTTATTCAATGTGCAGAAAATGAAGATTCTAAATGCATTCGGGTCTGTCCCAGAGTGGGGTAGGGAGGAGTGGGGCTTGAGATGCCATTCAGGGGCCACCTGAGGAAGGAAGTGACTTCTTAGCCCTGCGTGGTGACTGCCTGGGGGTTGAAGTTGGAACCACACAAATCTGACACGACTGTCTTTTGCAGGAGCATCGGTGTCATCACCTACATTCTGTGAGTATCTCCAGGCTTGGGTTGCAGACCTGCTTGGCTCAGGAGGAATGACGGAGGGGCAGGGAGACAGCAATGGATGTGTCAAGTCCACACGGCACCTGAGGCCGAGTTCTGAGCCCTACTTCATACACTTGAGCAGGGCTAGAAGTCTGGGAGAGCAGCCCTCCCTCCTACATAGCTCACTTCTAAAGTTCCTTTGTGGCAAGCTAGGGCTGCTCAGCTCAGCCTTCTGCGTACCATACATGCTCACCGAGAGTGTTGCTTCACCAGAATCCTTGCGACAGCCCTAAAGATGCCTTCACCTGCCCCTTCTTCCTCCTCTTTTCTCTCTTCTCATTCCCTGGTCCCTTTTCCTCCCTCTCATATTCTTCCCTTCTCCTTTCTTCCCCCTTTCTTGTCCCCTTATATCTAGTGTCTTATGTCAAGATTTCCTGCATAGGTTTTGTTTTGTTTTGTTTGGATTTTAGGGGACTAGGCCTCATCTGGGACACTGTTTCTTTCAGTTTGTGTCACCATGGACAGGTACTTAACCTCTGGACCTGTTTTTCTTATCAGAAAAGTAGCAATCTCAGACTTCCTGCTACAGGAAGTGGGGTGGGTGGGAATAAGCCACCTTGTACAAGTTTATGGCCCTGCTTTGGCACACAGGGTTGTCTAGTAGACACTCAGCTCCTTGATGGTTCCCAGTGGTCACCCTCTCATAGGCCACATGGAAAATGCTATTGTCATGGCATTTTCAGGTAAAAACCCATAGCCAGGACCAGTGTTCCACAGCTGAGGGATTGTTCTCAGAAGGCATAAGCTGGGAGCTCTGTACAGCCATAACTGTGACTCCCCTAGCTGCAGCTGAGGCTCTCAACCCTGGCTGCAGAGTAGATCTCTTAATACCCACAGGGACCCAGGCCCCACCCCAGATCCATTAAGTTAGTATCATTAGGGGAGGGCCATGGCCTTGGCGCCTTTTAAACGCCCAGCTGGATCTGCTGCAGAGTGAAGGCCAAGAACTATTCCTCTGTAATTCCAGAGCAGTCGCCTATCTGCCCCAAAGCTCGAGTTTCTTTAGGATTCTAGTTTTCATATTGAACTATTAAAGAATTCTACAGGCCACACAGTCTTCTTGTGACCCCTTGAACTTGGTGATATTTATGTTGTTTTATAGTATTTTTCTTTGTTTGTTTCTCTTTGTTTACTTATTTTTGTGGTACTAGGAATTGAATCTAGAGTAACTGAACATAGCTAGACAAATGTGCTACCACTGAATTATACCCCTGGAACCTCTGAAAGTTTCCTTCTTGTTTTGAGATAGAGACTCACCAAACTGCCCAGGCAGGCCTTGAACTTGTGATATTCCTGTGTTAGCTTCCCCTGGAACTGGAATTATAGGCCCGGTGTGACCAGGCCTGACTGACACAGTTTCATTGAAAACCCAGTTTTATCAGAATCACTGTGCCAGGAACTCAGTACCTTGACATGGAGGAGAGTTGACTTTGCTTGTCCTGGGCTCTGTGTCTGTAGGAGATACACTACACAGCTAGTATCACCCTGTGGAAGCATGGTTACCCTGGAGATTTGAGCATACATCTATGAAACCCAGAGGGAGAGAAGGTAGGTAGGGAGGTAGGACAGCAGTCGTACAGATAAATATATTTGAACTAGGAGATATAGAATGAAATTAACTCCCCAGATAATAAAGAGGTAGGTGAGGACATGGCACATGTGATACAGATCAATTTCTGGTCTTATGGAAACTGGGGACCTAGGACTCGCAGAGGGTTATTTGTGTTGTATCAGTGTCAGAAATAATGACCATTGGTGGGTGATGGTAGCTCATGTCTTAATCCCAACACTCAGGAGGCAGAGATAGGTGGATCTCTGTAAGTTCAAGGCCAGCTTGGTCTACAGTGTGAGTTCCAGGACTACACAGAGAGAAATCCTGTCTTGGAAAAGAAGAAAAAAGAAAACAAAAACAAAAACAAAAAAGCAATAATGACCATTAATTCTACAGCCACTAGTATGGATCAGGGTTACACAGGCATTTTATCTATTTCTTGTGGTGCTCAGGATTGACCCCAAAGACTTTGTACATGCTAGGTAAGTGCTCTTACCCTGAAATACATCCACATTTATTGAGTTTTATTATTTTTTTGATGGGGGAGGTCTCACTACATAATTCTGGCTGGTCTAGAATACTCTATGTAGACTGCAGTAGTTTCAAATTCATAGAGCCCCCTCCCCTGCCTCTGCTTTCCAAGTGCTGGGACTAAAGGTGTGCGCCACCACGCCTTAGCCTTCTCTTGATCTTTTGAGACAGACTATCTCCATGTAGCTCAGGCTGGCCTTGCAGTTCCCTGTTCTAAGAAAGAAGCAAGAGGGATGGGAATGACTGCCAAGAGTTATTTCATAAATAGAACTCTTGCATCTCAGCCGAGTGAGATGTGGCAAGGGAATAGAAATAAAGTCCAAGGTGACTGCTCTTTCTAGCATGGCTAATTGATGAGGTGGTGTGGTTAATCAATGTAGGCAGTACATGGATGGGGCTTGTGAATATCAAGGGCATATCTGGGTAGAGGAATCCAGTGCTCAAGGGGAATCCAAATCAAGCACTTGTGCTTCAGGGGGGGTCATTGTATGATGCATCCTTGTCTAGTCCTGCAGGGGTGAAATTGTGTATACCTTCTGTGTCTCTCAAGCTTTGCTCAAGTTGCTTGCTCAGTCTGGAAGGTCTTTCTAGAGCTTCTCTGATTGTGGACAGCCTGTTCATTCTTTAAGATAGAGTCGGTGCAAACTTCAACCGTCCTATGATGCCGCACTTCCCAGTGCTCCACCACTTCCCTATACTCCCCAACTTCTTTGTCTGGCCCCTTATTGTGTTTTACTTTATTCTGCCAGGGACTGTGTCTTTTCTTATAGCCTCTGAGTCTGTTAAACACAGTCTCCCTGGGTCAGGTACGCAGTCAGAGGTTCAGAACGTGAATTGAATTGGAGGGTACTGAAAAGACTATTGTTTGTTTGGTTGCCTGGAGAGAACAGACTGGGGTTTCCTGAGTCCATTACTTTTATGTGTGTCTCCTTTCCCTCCGTTTCATGAGTCTTTCTCTGTTGTGCTCAGACTAAGTGGAGCATCCCCCTTCCTGGGAGACACAAAGCAAGAAACACTGGCAAATATCACAGCTGTGAGTTATGACTTTGATGAGGAATTCTTCAGCCAGACAAGCGAACTGGCCAAGGACTTCATTCGGAAGCTTCTTGTGAAAGAGACCCGGTAAGAGGGTAGAGAAGACTGGTTTCTCTGGTACTCATTCTTTTCCGTTCCCTCCCTTTGCCATCTGTGTCATGTAGCCCAGTCTGACCAGGTGCTGAGAAATGTCACTGGCCATGACTTGGCATTCATCTTGTCATTTTGTTTTTTGCCACCATCTCCTTCTGCCCAAATACAAATGGCTCTGTGTACATGAGCACACATATTTATGTGCTTGCATGCGTGTGTATTTGGAAATCAGGGGTTATTGTGTACAGTCTTCCTTATACGAGTGCAGGACTCTGGTTTGAAAGGTAAAGAATGAACATTTTGAGGCCTGTTCAAGTTGAGAGTGGAGGCAGACAGGCCCAGAGAGGTAAGGATGTTGGGAGACATGAGACATACTAATCTCACCTCTGGTCTAGGGCCCAGGTTGAACCTCATGGCTGTATGGCCAAAGAAGGGGGATGGACAAGAAACTGTGTAGAGAGCTGTGACTTTTCTGTGTGACCACCAGAGAAGGGTCTGGATGGGCAAGGGACAGGGCCAAAGACTATAGAGGGCTATGCCCTCTGATTTTCACAGACTTCAGAGAGAACCAGAGTAGGGTCCTATGGTATGCAGAAGCCCTGGTACCTTATGTAGGGCAGTGCTGCGGTTGGGGTACCTACCTTTATGTAGAGCAATAAAGGGCAGAGGGGATACCTGGGAAGCAAACACAAAAACAGACACCAGAGGTTTGGCCCTGCAGAGCTGGCTTTCTGAGGAGTCTGGAAGCGCAATAGAAGGTAGTAATCAGGCCCTTCAACTTTGGAACTGAAGTCGAGGGCTTGGGTAGTAAGGCTCCTCTATTGAGATCCCTGCCCAGACTATACCTTCCTAAGAATATTGGGAATGCAGCCAGTTTTCAGCCATATCTGTACTGCCTTGATGTCACAAAGAATGCCAAAGAGGTGAGACATTGATTGTCCTCATGGAACTTCTGTTTCCCTATCCTCATTGCAGGAAACGGCTTACCATCCAAGAGGCTCTCAGACATCCCTGGATCATGGTAAGGGCATGGCAATGAATCCCAGTGAGCAGGAGGTTCCTCTTCTGCCATTAGAGCTGGCTGTGGCAGTCAAATATAAATGGCTGCTAAGAAGCCTTTGCTTGATCTCGGGCACTGGTCCAGGGTCCTCAAATGGGCTTCTACTGACTCAGTACCAGAGTACCTAGCTTGCATGAGGCGGTGAGTTCCACTCAGAGCACCACAAAAAGAAACAAAAATAAATAAAATAGGGTTTTGGTAGCTTAAGTTTGTATTTCATTGGTTCAGAGAGCCAACAAAACTACCACAGACATCAGTTAAGACACTTTCTTCAGAGGCCAGCTTACAAAGTGTTCTTTGTTGACTCTGTAACCAGGTACATTTCCTTTCCTGCCTTCTGGGCTCTCACTAAAGGATGAAATGCAAGTCTGTCATGTAGCTCCTTTAGGCACTGTGCAGCCTCAGGGATTGGGTCCTGAACCTGGTGGAGAAGATAAGCCAGATCTGCTAGGACAGATCTGTTCCCTGTTGGAGGGTCAGGGCAGAAAATTAATCCCTGCAGTGGAGGACCCACTGGTTTTTCAGAGTCTTGGGGTTTGGCATGGAAGCTCATTGGGAGTGATAGTGGGACTCAGCAAGACTCGGGTCTTGGTTCTATGGGCTGGCGAGCTGAACACTCTTACAGTCTACCTTCAGGATTCAGAGAAGGCCCATAGGAATGATCCTAGTGTAGATAAGGAGAGAGGCCTATAGATGATAAATTCCTTTACTCCCTGGGGAATGGGGAAGGCCAATTATCTTCCAAGGTCGGATGTGCCCAAGGCCTGAAGCTAGAGAACCTCTTGGGCTCCTTTCAGCTGAGCATGCTGGCTTTTGCCAAGGCTGCAGTGTCCTGAAAGACAGATACCTTCAGCCTTCCTCTGCCTGCCATAGCCTGCATGTTTCAGCCCTTGAGTGTGTGTTTGCAGAGTTCTAGCTGCAGCCAGCTTGTCTGTATGAGCTACTATTAAATTCTATGTGTGTGGCAACCCTCTCTAATGGCCATTAGTGAGCATGCAGGCAGCACCCCCACATTCCTTAATGCTTCTTATGGTCTTGTTGCGGGGGTGGGTGCTAACCTCACCCTGGCTCTCCCTCCCATGTCTTGACACGAGCAGTGAATGCCAAAGAGACCATGTGTGTGCCTTCCGCCTGCAGCTTAGACTGCCCTGTGGAGCACATATCATGTTAATATTCTGGTTCTTCTGTCTGAACACCTACTAGTCAAAAGGAGAAGCCAGAGCCCCTGAACAGTGGAAGACACAACCCACCCAGCTGAAGACCAAACGCCTGAGAGAGTATACCCTCAAATGCCACTCAAGCATGCCCCCCAACAACACTTATGTCAACTTTGAGCGTTTTGCCCATGTGGTAGAGGATGTGGCTCAGGTGGACAAGGGATGCCATGCCCTAGCAGGAGCCCATGACACCCTGCAGGATGACGTGGAGGCCTTGGTCGCTATCTACAATGAGAAGGAGGCCTGGTACCGAGAGGAGAATGAGAGTGCCCGCCATAACCTGTCTCAGCTCAAGTATGAGTTCCGCAAGTTGAATTCCCTGAAGAAACTCCTGAGAGAAGACATCCAGACCACAGGGGCCAGCCTTGGAGGCATGGCCAGGAGGCTAGGCCATCTGCAGGTGCAGTTCGAGGCTCTGAGGCAGCAGCTCTCAGCAGACATCCAGTGGATGCAGGAGCTGGTGGGCAGCTTCCATCTGGAGAGCAGGAACACAGATAGCTATGGCACAGGTTCCATGTTCCACCAGGACACCAGTGAGTCCCTATCGGAGCTGCTCAACAGATCACACACAGACGAAATCCTGGCCGGCTTGAAGCTCTGAGCACCAGACTCTAGTCAGTAGTGTGTTCCCAACACTTGGCAGAAGCATGCTATCTGGTGTGTCCCACCAGAATCATCCAAGAGTGTGTGTGTGTGTGTGTGTGTGTGTAAGCATGCTACCTTTCACTCTGCTGGAGCATCCCACCAGAATTATCCTGCAGAGTGTATATGCAGCCTTCCACTCCTTCTAGAGTTCCCCAGCCACTGGGGTGCTCTTTAGTGACTTACTCCACACCTCCCTCACCAGCCTGATTTTCTGAGAGTGCTCCAACAAAGCAGCTGAGCTGTGGAAACAATTAGAATATATATCCCCTCAGCATGCCCTTCTCCTGGGGGGTAGAGTGGGGGGGAGTCTGCCGGCCCCCAGGAAATACTTGATAACTGAGTAATGATGATGGATTGACTCACCTTTCATGTTCCGTTTGCATGCCTGGAGTGCAGATCTTGGGTAATGATTGACATAACTAAGAATAACTTAGCAGGGTGCTTTCTTGCTACAGAGTTGGGGCCTTAAAATATACAGGGAAAATACTTTCTTTTAAATCGTCTTCTCACTCATCAAGACTTTATGTCTGTGACCTTATTGGATCATTAAAGAACTCTGTAAGATAAGAGGCTGGGATATAGTTCAATTTCTAGAGTACTTGCCTAGCATCCTCAGAGCCCTGGGTTTGATCCCCAGCACAGCATAACCTGGACTTTGTGGTACACACTTCTTCTATGTGGTACTTAAGAGGAGGAGCCAAAAGGACTGGGAGTTCAGAGTTCCCTCTGGCTATGTATTACATTTGAGTTGAAAGCCAACCTGGGATATATGAGACCCTGTCTCTGTGAGCTGAGAAGATGAGTGACAGAATTATTACTACATTTCTCTGTAGCCAGTGAAAAAAATTGACTCAGAGAAGGAGAATGAGTTAGGATCATTCTTGGCCTATTTGAAATTCAGGGTACCCATGTTTGAGTGAGGTATGGAAAGAGTTTAGTGAAGCTTAGCTGTATATATTGACCTTAATATTAAAGTTCTGATCCTAGATGCTAAGGGCTCAACTTTACATTGAGAATGAAGACAAGAGGCACACAACAAGGAGCTATTTACTCATGTAAGCTAGGCCAGTAGCCCCTGAAGTCTGGGAATCCTCAGAAAGTTTTGAGAGGCACAAGGCTTATTGGCCTCTTCTAGCTCCAAAACTTTGAGCATCATGAGGTTTGTGTGGTGCCGTCTCCCTTTCCTAGGAAGAAGGCCTATCAATATATCCATGCAGACAGCACATAGAGTATGAACCCTGGAACCCCACCTGATGCTAGAAGCTTAACTGTATTGTTTCAAGTACCTTCACAGCCTTGCAAAACAACCATCATATTTGTATTAAATATTATCCCCAGGTCAGTGAGAAAACAGAAATAATGTGACTTGTCCTGGGTTACAACATTAGTGATGAAAGTGGGAGTCTACAGCTCTTTTGAGTCCCTTAACTGCTTGGATTCATGGAACTTATGTTCTGCTTGAGTTAGTCCATCCATTCAGACACAGTTAGCAGCGCCCGCCAGTTTCTAAATAGTTGACTTTAGTCTGGGGATGTGGTGTTAAGTAATGTCAGGCAGGTTTTCTGCTTCCCCAGAGTTCTCAGTTGAATATTAGATTGTAGCATTAATCAAGAATTATATAACTACAGAAATAGAGCTGGCTCCTATTCTGTGAAAAAGAAGCAAGCAGCACTGCAAGGCTGGTCTGCTCAGGGGAGGCAACCACTTATGCAGGGCCCTGGGTCAGCTAAGTAAACCAAAGAGAGAGGTGTCCCCTATGGGGCCATCATGTCAGTGTTCTGTGGTGAGAGGGGGATGGAAGGAAAACTAAAGGAGAGAGAACAAGGGTATATATAGTATGGAGGTGGCTGAGGAAGAGCAGAACCAGCAAGGCTTTGTCATGTTGAAGAGTTCACCTTTACTCCCAGGGGTCCTGGGCTAGTGCTGAAGGAGAGCTTCTCAGTGGGCAGTGCACACTAGATTTCAGTCTAATAAGACCATTCTTTAGGATCCTTTTTTTAATTAGCAAGTTGTTGGATCATTTAAAGTGTCACATATAACTGTAATAGGAAATCTTTTAATCAAATATAAGAAATCACAATTTTAAGATGCATGATTATTTTATGGACAACAGAGAAAGAAAAAAAACATCCCATTGTGGGCAGTCTTCTAGAAGATGCTACACAGTGAGATGATGACCAAGAGACATCACCACAATGCAGAAGAGAGAAACACACCTGGTTCAACTCGGACCCTGAGTGGAGATGAAGACCCAGGCTGAAGACCTGGCTACCTTTGAAGCATCACTCAGAGCTGAAGACCTGGCTACCTTTGCAGCATCACTCTTTGAGATTGGACCACATCAGTGTGAGTCAGAAGAACCTCAAACTGGGACTGCCGTGTCCCACAGTCGAAGGGTGGTGACCCCACCTGGCTCTCCACAGCTGGGCAGTCTTTTCCCCAGATGACCTGCTTCAGTCTAGGCCCACAGTAATGAGATGCCACATTGATTAGGAGATGCTGCTGATGTCTGAGGTCTGACATTGCACATCCTGGAATCAAGGAAAGATTACCCTAAAGAAGACTCTACAATTGCATCAAAGTCCTGTATGCCCTGTCATGGGATGTTGCATACTTGTTTGGTACAAGATGCTACAAATATTAAAGGTCCTTTTGGTTCCATCTACAGACCTTGACCTCCACATTTGGTTTTCCTAAGAAGAGGAAGGCCGTGGAGGGAAAGATGCTTGATGAACTGTCTTTGAAGGCCATAGTAAATGCAAGATTTGAGATTAAGTGATGGTGACAACTTGATTAGGGAGGATGGGAAAGGGAGGGGGAGCTGGTTTTCTAAGGTTTGTGGAATCTCTACTTTGTTCATGCTGAGTGGGTCCTCAGAGCCAAACTACCCAAAACTCTCCCTGTATAGCAGCTTATGGGACAGCAGTCATCCAAAGTCACACGGCTTTGAGCCCCTGAGCTGTCTCAGAGCCATAAGTAGTTTCCTTCCCTGCAGTGAAATTGTCCTCTGTGTTCATGGCAAGTCATTAGTGACAGTGTCTCCTTTAGGTGTTTCGTAACCAGACCCTATACTGTACAAAGACAAAGGCAACTGTGAAA